TCACAATTTGGGCTCCACTCCCGCCCCATTCCTGTTATGGTTTTATGACCTGTCACGATTCGGACTCTGCTCTGCTCTGTTCCGTTCCTAACACCAAGTTTGGTGTTTATTTATCTCGTTTCATGTTTGCTAGTTTAGTTTTCATTATTACTGGATTTGGTATGTTATTCATTCCACAGTCTATATAGCCTGGCAGATGTTGTACATACAATCCAGTCAGAAAATCAGCTTAGATTCCCCTCAGTAATCTCAAGTACATTTTCCGCTCTAATCTTCTCTTTGAAACACACTGCTTGACCTTGTCAGAGCCTGCAGGCTCTGACCCATCTACCACTCAACCTCCAACCTATCTATCTCGACCCCTCGACTTCCGCAGACTTCCTACAGTCGACTCCCAACCTCTCAACCCATGAACCCCTCCCGGACTCCCTGGGATTCCCATCCACCTGTTTGAAATTGGACAAGATGATCTTCTTTATTATCCAGCTAGGTCAAGGATATTGTATTTTAGGCCTTAGAATTTCCTATGTTTTTTGCCTGATTCTGGGCTTAACTTTCTTGTAGCATTTCTATCTCCAGTTTCACTAACAAGAATGTGACTGCAAGTAGTCAAGTTATTCCCAGTTAGTAATTCTTCATCAGTTTTGGGACTAGGCTCCTCCCATTCTGTGATCATAGCTCTAGGCCTTTGGAACCAATAACATTCTCAGTGTGTTTGATTCCAAGTGTTGACAAGGGTGTCTTGCAGATTGTTCACATAGTTTTGTAAGCCCATGATGTCATTGATGGGTTGACCTTGTAGCAGGTAGAGCCATTCTGTGGGTAGAGTCAGAATTAAACAATGTGTCTCTTCGTTCTGATCTTGATGAAATCCATACAGGAAGCAGTATAGCTTAATTCATCATTGAATATACTGGACCAGTGGTTTCACAACTGTGATGAGATTGACAAAATCACATTTCCTCCCATTCTAAAACCAAAGATTCATCCATTTGGTCCCTAGTAATCCTTCAATGGTACCCAAAGGAAAGATCTGTGAGACCAACTAAATTCAGTATGGTGCTTGTAGTCCAAGGTGCTCCACCAGATCTTGGCATTACCTGTAAGTTGTCTGGAAGGGCAATTCCCAGCAAAGAATTCATTGATTTGGATAATTCTGAGAGACTCATGATGTCCAGGATATATTCTAATGCTGTGGAATGGTTCCTATCATACTGTACTCCAGGAGTGTTAAGATCTAAGCCTAAAAAGGGGAAGAGGCTCTAATTTGGGAGGCCAATGATAGGAAATGAGTTAATTGGGGGGCCAATGATAGAGATTGTACTAGTCAGGAGGTCTGGCTCTATAAACATAGTGGAGCTTGGCTTCAACTTATGTGTTGCATCCTCATACAAACTGTTAGGTGCTCTGGTATTTCAAACAGAATGGATAGTATGATAGAAACTCTGAACAAAGATCTGGAAGTCCTGCAGATTTTCTGGGAATGTCCTGTGGAGTCCCTGGGTAATAGTCTGGGGAGTTTCTGGGGATTAGTACAAGGGGTATCAGAATAATTATCAGAGTACTGAGATGGACTTGGCTTCAGCTTATGTGCTGTGCCCTCGTACACTCATTCAGGTGTCCATATTTCAAGCTGACAGAACATCTACAAGGAAGATGTAGATTCTGGAGTTCCCATGGAAGTTCTGGGAATTGAGTGTGCAGACAAACAAGAGGAGTAGAGACTGGATCAGGATGTATTCAGGGTATAACTAGTTTGAGATTCAAACTGGATTGTAAGTACATGAGTGTGGGAGACTATATAGACTTTGAAATATATGCAATACCAAATATGATAATAATGAGGTGCAAAAGAAGTAAACATAAAATGAGATGAGCAAATACCAAACTAGGTATTAGGGATGGAATGGAATGGGAGTGGGGTCCAAAACATGACAGGTCATTTGACCATAATGGGAGTGGGGTTTTATGCTCTGTTAGAGGGGTTCCAGGAGTCTGGTTGGAGTCTGGTGATGGGCACAGAGAGTCAGGTATAAACAGGTTGACATGTGGGTCTGGTGGAGTCTGACAATTGGTGTATGAGACACAGTGTCAGATATCGACAGGTTGACATGCTCTGTTAGAGAGGTTCTGGGAGTCCAGTCAGAGTCCGGTGATGGGCACAGAGAGTCAGGTATAAACAGGTTGACATGTGGGTGTGGTGGAGTCCAATGATTGGTGCATGAGACACAGTGTCAGATATCAACAGGTTGACATGCTCTGTTAGAGGGGTTCTGGGAGTCCAGTCAGAGTCCAGTGATAGGCACAGAGAGTTGGGTATAAACAGGTTGACATATGGGTCCAGTGGAGTCCAATGGATTCTGGGTCATAACAGAAAGTGTCTAGTTGGGGGGCAGACTGACAGAATGGGATGTGAGTCAAAGGGTACTTGAGGGATGAGGGTTGGGTTCTGGTGGATTCTGGATCTTGATACTGGTCTGGAAAGTGGTTTGGAACCTAATATAATGTCTGGAGGATACTCTGTGGGGTTCCCAGGAATGGGTCTTCACAGAAACAGAGATCAACACTTACATAGCTCAATTGACTGGAGGGCCAAAGTACTAAGAGTTGAGAAGTAAAGTGTCACAGCTTGCCAAAGACACCTAGGGGGGTATTATGAGGAGGGGGAAGAGGCCAAGGATTAGAAGGGGGTAATCTAAGTCAATTTTCAAACCGAGGAAACTGTAGCATACATGAAAGAACTTTATACTAGAGGGAGACAGATGATCAGAGAGCTGATCAGAGAAGCAAGAGTCTTGACAGGTCAAAAGGAAGTGGGGGAAGGAAACAGGGATACAAGTGAGACTAAATACAACATACATATGCAGCAAAGTATACTAAAAAGGTGTGAGGTGGCAAATGGGATGTACATATATGTGGAATGGTGATGGGGGAGTGAATGGAATGGGGACAGGACAAAAGGCTAAGGTGTTATGATACAACAAGACAAATGTTGGAGGCACTGCAGGCAGTGCTACCATGAGTAGGGGTACCAATAGTGGGACAATGGAGGGTTATGAGGCTAAAAACAGCTCACAGGGGTCCAAAACAACAGGGATCCTAACAGTATCCCCATTAGGTCAAGACCCTTCGAGACCTTTCTAGAAAATGATGTCAGAGTATTCTTTGAGTAGGATGAAAGCAGGATGGGGCTAAAAAGGAAAACAAGAATAATATAAAACAGAAGAGAGACATAGGGCAACAGGAAGTAGTGAGGATGAGTCCAAGGGAAATTTGGCGGACTGACCATAAGCTGCTAAATGGCTGAAAGAGGACCCAGCTTGGCTGGATTTGCAGTATGAAAGACCAGGATGACTTCTGGTGCATTTCCAAGTTCAGTGGCAAGAAGCCAGGATGTTTCTTTGTCTGTACCTTCATAGCCAGACTATTTTACCAAGTAGAGTAGTTTGCAAGCACATCACCTATGGTTGATTTTGGAATCCAACATGGCCTCAATTTTAAATTCAGACTCACCATCAATAATCATGGGTGGGGGAGGAGGTTGAATACATTTGGGAATAGTATTTGGCATGGCTGGTTCCAGTACAGAGACATGGAAAACTGGATGTACTGCATGCATGGTATTGGGGAGCTGAAGGGTAAATGAATGGGTTCCTGCTTGTGGAATAATCTTGTAAGGACTGAAATATTTTTCAGCAAGCTTTTTTGTGGGTTGGGTAGTCCTAAAAAACTCAGCTTTGACAAAGACTTGGTTGCTGACTTTAAAATTGGGTGCCCAAAGACATCAGCAGTCTGCTGACTTCTGGGTATACATACATAAGCTCTTTCATTATTGTACTACAAACTAGGATCATAATAAGACAGATTTGGGTAAGTATTCCAAAATGGGAAAACAACAAGCAAACAAATGAATACTTGTCAACTGACAAGTTACCAAATGCAGAACAAGGATGAGGTTCAGAAGTATGTATGGGAACTATAAATGTTCCATGGATGGAAGTCAGATTGGAAGTTGGATTGGAAGTTGGGTCAGAAAGTTAAGGCACAATATAGATAATTATGGAAGATTGAAATGTTTGGGAATGGGTCGTAACAATGCTGTTAGTCGTTCAGAGGTAAAGATAGGCTTGAAACTGTGTGGATTGACTGCTGCATAATCACTGGTCCCCTCTTTAAGGTAGACATCCCATTGTTTAGTTATGGCATCAGGTTTGCCACCCAGGCAGCCAGGCCAAAAATTAATTACAAGGTTGAATTGAAAAAGGTATTCCAACCATCAGGCTTGCTGACAAGAAGCTTAGTTGTAGTGAAGTATTCTAAGTTCTTATGGTCAGTGACAATGTCAATCAGGGTTCCTGAAACTTCAAGGTAATGATGCCAGGTCTTGAACACTTCAAAAATGGCAAGGAGATCTTTGTCATGGACATCATAGTTGAGTTCTGTAGAGGTAAAGGTTCTGGAAAGGAAAGCAACTGGATGAATTTCTTCATCAGAAGTGATAATGGAAAGGATTGCAGCTAGTGCATAGTCAGATGCATTGGTTTCAGGCAGTCCAGTTACCAATGTGTAAGGATGGGTGCTGATATGAACATATCTTTGAGTTGTTGGAAAGTCATTCTGCATTGATCTGTAAAAATCCACAGCATTCCCTTATGAGTAAGGCAAGTAAGGGGGACTGAAATAGTTGTGCACAGGGAGTTCTGGGATTTCCTTGAGAACCATGTGTGGGGCTTAGAGATCTTGGATGGAGAGTATGATGGGTCCAAGGATGGGGAATCTGAGGAGTCTGAGGAGATGGAAGAAACTGAGGGGTCCATGGGAGTTGACGAAATAAATGAACTGGCTGAGGAGAGCAAGGAGAGGGGGGGCAGAGGAGACTATAGACTAAATAATAATAGAATTTCTTTTTCTTTTTCTTCATAAAATGTGTGAAAAATGGAAAAGACCATGGGAAAACCACTTAAGCAGATACATATGTATGTAATAACACTAGACCATGAGGTTTGGTAGCTCAGTGGTTAGAGCACCAGCATATATAGCCAGCAGGGCCTTGGTTCAATCCCAGGTTGGGTGAATTATTTTCTATACCTTTAGCAGTTTGCTCTGCTCACAATGCTGTACCAACCCCTATATCACCTCCAACATCTCTTTCCATGTCTCCCAATGTTTTGCAACAGCAGCAGCTCCAAGGCCCTGTTAAGGCCCATGGGCATTCAGCAGATCCCCACCATTGTACATCCCACACATTATGGGGGACCCACAGTAGAATTCTTCCTGAAAAGTGTCAAGACCCATTCTCAGGAACTCCACGGAGTATCCTCCGGATATTATATTAGGTTCTGAACCATCTTCCAGACCACTATCAAGATCTGGAATCCACCAGAACCTGACCCTCATCCCTCAAGTACCCTTTGACTCACATCCCATTCTGTCAGTCTGCCCCTTGACTAGACACCTTCTGTTATGACCTGGAAAACCCACCAGTCTCCAGACTCCACCTTATCTGCACCCGACTCTCTATATCATACCTAAGGTATAGTTACAACTGGAGTACCTGCTGGGACCCACATGTCACTCTATATGGACTAGTCATTGGACTCTGCTGGACTTGCACATCAACCTGGCTATATCCAACACTGTGTCTCATGCACCAGTCCTTGGACTCCACTGGACCCAGACATCAACCTGCTTATACCCAACTCTCTGTGTCTCATGTACCTGTCACCAGACTCCAACTGGACTCTCAGAACCCCTCTAACGGAGCATAGAACCCTGCTCCCATTATGGTCCCATGACCTGTCATGATTTGTCTGCATCTCATGCACCAGTCCTCAGACTCCACCAGACCTGCACATCAACCTGTTTATACCCAACTCTCTGTGCCCATCACTGGAATGTCTGAACAAGTGACATTGGTGTATGTTAGTTGGTTGCATATACATACAATACCACCCTAGGCAGAGGCCTAGGAAACTCGATTTTATTCTATTTTTAATCCATTATCATTGAAACTGAGTTTCTGTCATAATTCCACAATCCAAACATTGAAAAATTTGTTAAATAAAGTAGATTAATTAATAAAGGTATCCTTTATGTTGAAATTAGCTTTGTCAATAAATATCACATCTACTTTTAATATTGTGCATGCCAAGATATGCAAAAGAATGACCTTTTTGTGACTGTATAAAATGGGTTGTTTGTTTCCAAAACTTGAACTATTGTGAAGTTTGTCTCGAGAGCCGGTTATACTTGTAGAGAAGAGAAGTTAGTTGGTTCCGGTCGAGCTTCCGAATCGATCAGAGCCGTTTATATCGACTTAGGAATCCATGTCAACTAAGACTTCCGTTCAAGCTTAAACAAACGATGAATGCTATAAATATTCCCATCCATAATAAAATAAATTCGTAACATGCAATACTAAAGCCGAGCTGTCACGAAGCGACTTCGAATAATGATTCTATCCCAAACATTGCAATGCCGACCGGCGACACCTCCAGGTGGCGGTGGCCTTCTCGGAGCATTGATTTCCTATTCACTTGCTACAAGATCAATGTGCATGAGACCTATAACCGAACTCGACGATAACATGTACCAAGTCTCTCGCTTCATCGGCAGTTTGCCGAAGCATTCATAATGGAAGCTTTCGAATGTGTAGCCATCAGTAGTACACGTGCTCAAACTAGTTTCTTTCAAAGAAACCAACACGAAGGTCTCGAATTGTTCACGTTATTCTAAGAAGAAAAGACACACCGAAATAACGTAAAGTGGTCCCCCGGCCAGTCCAATGTAGGATTAAAATATTTAGAATTTTACAATATGGAAGGAGAAATGAATTTGCTTAGGACAATTAACCAACTTCCAGCCGCTCATCTTGATTCTGACACAATTTCCAAATGGAAGTGGGCAATGAGATACGCGGAGTGTTCGGGGCTTATACCCGGTATCATAGTCCCTCAAAATGACGTGCTTAGGTTAGCCAATATGTCTATAAAAGCCACACGATGAGGTGCGTTGCTCATCTTTGCTCCTGTACCCCTTGCTATTTGGAGCGCAGTGTTTTAGGGTAGGTCTAAGAAGCGGATCCATATTTTGGATGACACATTCATGGTTACTCATTACTCTACATGCGCACCCACGCAGAAATCACACTTGATAATAACGATCCACCATGTCCGATAACCAGTTTTACAAGTGAGTTGGACTTTTGGTACACAAGCTTCTCGTTCTAACGATAAATATGACACTAGGACCCCCGAATTTGATACTCTCCAGCTTCACGCTGGTCAAGTCCCGGATCCCACGACCAATGTCAGCACCCTCAATGCCTGCCCGTCACTATAGAACTCTATTGATGGTCATTTACTCTCACAGGCTCGGGCCGTTCCAATTTATAGCACAACGTCGTATGTGTTCAATGACTCGCAGGTTAGTAGCTATTTCGTTGGAACCACATTTGGAGGAAGCCAGGTATTTAACGCAACATATTCGATTACAGCACGGAGCCGATTTGTTTGGGTTGAAGGCATTTGGAAATATCTATTCGCGGTATGTTGCTATTTTTCTTTGGAGCACTTCCAGGGATGATGGCTGACTTAGTCCTCCTCCACGTCAGAATTGGAAACCCCACACTCGTATGTAGTTCATTTGATATCGATGCAAATGCTAATACCCTACTCATAATTATGACGTTCTGATCCTGTTTTTAGGATGTATTCGAGAAACGCATGGCAGCACTTGAGGGTGGTGCTGCTGCAGTCGCAGCGTCTTCCGGACAATCAGCGCAGTTCATGGCTATTGCGACTATTGCCTCAGCTGGTGATAATATTGTCTCAACGTGCGTCGCCATTTCAAATAATTAATAATTTTGCCATTAACGTTCGGACCCAAAATGAAGTTCCTACTTGTACGGCGGCGTAAGTGCATATTAAATTGTTTCCACGCTACATTTCCGCTCACTGTCGGATGTATCACATCCCTCTTTAGACCTATAACCAATTCAAAGGTAGCCATGCTTTCTAGACTGGCACGAAATGCGGTACTTACTATATGCATGCAGTTCTCCTCAAGAAGTTTGGAATCACTGTAAAATTCGTCGTTGGAGACAAACCTGAAGACTTCGCAAAAGCCATCGATTCTAACACGAAAGCTGTCTACGTCGAAAGTATCGGAAACCCTAAATACAATGTTGCACCGATTCCAGAGATCTCCAAGGTTCGTTTAGTTGAGATTTTTTGCTGTCGAAGGCTGACTAGCTAAAATCACTCATTGGTTAGGTAGCGCATGCCCATGGCGTTCCACTCATCGTTGACAACACATTCGGCTGCGGAGGTAAATTTTTGATCGTACATCATACATGTCACCGAGATGTATCTGAACTCAGAACGACAGGATACATCATCCGCCCTATCGAACACGGCGCCGACATCATTGGTTAGTCCTCTGATTCTAGTCACTCAAGTTTCAAGTGCCGTCAATATAACAAATCCCTAGTCCACAGCGCCACCAAATGGATCGGCGGCCACGGACAAACCATCGCTGGTGTCGTCGTTGACGCTGGAAAATTCGACTGGACCAGTGGTACTTAAATTCGTTCTCTTGATTATCTCAATACCTGACCTATAAATATGATGCCCCACCGGCCAATAGGCCGTTTCCCTTCGTTCACGGAGCCCGCAGAAGGATATCATGGCCTAAAATTCAGCGAGACCTTTGGAGCGGTAGCCTTTGCCGTCAAATTACGCATAGAAATTTTGCGTGACCTCGGGAGCACGCTTAACCCCTTCGCCGCGTTTTTGCTCCTCACGGGCTTGGAGACGCTTAGTTTGAGGGTGCAGAGGCATTGCGATAATGCGTTGGCGCTGGCGCAGTACGTGTAATTTGTTTCGTTACAGTAAGACAGCTGTCTCACCTTTTTTTTTGCTCCTGGTGCTGGTGCGGATTAGGTGGTTGGAGACACACCCCAAGGTCGCGTGGGTACAATATCTTGGTCTGGCGTCCCACCCTTCGCATGCCTTGGCGAAGAGACTTCTTCGTCCGAATGCTTATGGTGGTGTTCTCAGCTTTGGTGTCAAGGGTGATCCCAAACTTGGCAGCAAGATTGTGGATCGTTTGAAGCTTGCGAGCAATTTGGCGAATGTCGGTAAGTCGTCACCGTCTTTCCGTCCTACCTTCATTATCACAATGATACCGGCGAAATGGGTCGTGGGATGCTGATTTTAAATGTTCGTTATTAGGTGACGCGAAGACATTGGTTATCCACCCTGCGACGACGACGCATCAACAGCTAACTGTAGAAGAACAGATTTCGTCGGGTGTTACGCCCGATTTGATTCGAGTACGTCTGACTTGAATGTATGCCAGTTGTAAGTGATTATTAAATGAGAAACCTTCAGGTCTCCGTAGGAATCGAGGACATTAGCGATATTATCGCCGATTTTAGCCATGCATTTGAGATTGCGGCTCCTAACTGAAGGCTCGGCGGCTGGTTGATTCTGCGCGCGCGGTAAGGCTTAGGGACTAGATCTGTATGGATAGTGTCCGTCACTGCACTCTTGAGGAGTGCTCATGATGAATGTGGAAAGAAGAGGAAGATTATAACGTGTACATGACCAGAGCAAAGCGAATGACATTGCAGTATATGATGAGCGTCGAGTTTGCGATTGGATGCAGGGAGTTGTGGTTGATCGAGGAAATGGGTATGGCTAAGAAACAAAGTGCAAGAGGCTAGACTGCAAGTGGACCAAAACAAGGGGCTGCATACTTGACGCCCCGCAGCAGCATGTCGGGCTTCTGCTACACAAGTCATAGACAGCCCGGGCCCCAAATGGGAATCCGAGCGTGCAAGTAAACGACGCAGGCCTAATGGAGTGGGCTTTGTCGACGCGTAGCGAGTCGTGACGACCGGGACGGACACTGTTTTAACGCAGACGCCGCACTCGTTGAGCTGAAACATGATCCTGTGGAAATTACCCCCGGCCAAAGAAAGGCTCTAGAAAGAATACCCAAGGAGTCAAAGGACAGACTGATGGAGCATAATTGAGTACCAATGGTGATGACAATGCGGTTGCTGCCAAT